CTAAGACCTGATAACTCCAGTTGGTATTTAGCTGGAGTTAAAAATAAATAAATAAATAAATATACACACACACACACACACACGCGCGCGCGCGCACACATTTATATATTTTAGTGGATTGAATATATATGAAATCACTTTAAAACCTGTAAAGTTATATGAATCTGAACTATTTGTCTAAACTAGGCATCTAAAATAAGCTCACGGGAGAGCTAGTACACCTAAGGACAATGGCTGAGTATTGTCACAAAGATTGTGTATCACACATCCAAAGGAGCAAGGCAGCTCAGGGAAGGCAGTCATGCCAGCCAACTGATCTCCTAGGATCTGAAACCAGCTTCAATCAAACAGCTTCCCCATCTTGGTTCTCTCACTTAGATATTTAAATACCTTGCACTGATAAGGTGTTTGATTTTTGATAACCCATGGAGAGATTTGGGATTTTCCACAAACACTCTGAGAAAAATCATCACTTAAGATTCCTTTTTTCGGGTCGGGCATGGTGGCTCATGCCTGTAATCCCAACACTTTGGGAGGCAGAGGTGGGTGGATCACAAGGTCAGGAGTTCTAGACCAGCCTGGCCAAAATGGTGAAACCCCATCTCTACTAAAAATTAGCTGAGTGTGGTGGCGGGCACCTATAGTCCCAGCTACTGAGAAAGCTGAGGCAGAAGAGTTACTTGAACCCAGGAGGCAGAGGTTGCAGTGAGCCAAGATCATGATACTGCACTCCAGCCTGGGCAACAGAGCTATACTCCATCTCAAAAAATAAAAATAAAAAAAACAAATTCCTCTTTTAATTTGTTAAGGAGGGGCCAGCAGTAGATTTTTGGGAGGCAAATTTGTATGATGGAAAGAACATAGAACTGAAGACAATACAAAAATTTGGGCCCAGATTCTGACTTCATAGCAAGTAATGTAATCTCTCTCAACTTCAGTTTTTTTATCTGCAAAATGGGGATACATGATATCTACTTCAAAAGGTTTCACGGGGGATTAAATAAACTAACACATGAGGAAGAGCAGGACTCAACAATAAGTGCTAGTTTTTCTTTCCATTTCTTTTTTTTTTTTTCCTATTTATTTATTTATTGAGACATAGTCTTGCTCTTTTGCCACCATGTCTGGCTGATTTTTGTATTTTTAGTAAAGACAGGGTTTCACCATGTTGATCAGGCTGGTCTTGAACTCCTGGCCTCTGGTGATCCTCCTGCCTCAGCCTCCCAAAGTGTTGGAATTACAGGCATGAGACATCTTGCCTTACCTTTTCTTTCCATTTCTATATGCACTGTTTCACTAAGGGTCAATTGAGAGGAGGAAAACCATTGAGACAAATACCATTAAACTAATATTCAAGTAGAATTGGAGCCAAGACACCTTTTCTGACTATCCTCACTTTGACCTTGTCTGCTTTAGACCTGCTAAAGCTAAGATAACTGGTATCTGGCTATAACTATGCCTGCGAATTTATAGGGAACCTATGTCTACTATCCCAGTGAGAGGCTGCAGCTCATAGTTACCCACAGCTAAAGTGCAAGGCTGCTTAGCAGGTCTGTGTATGCTTTGTTGGTCTACAATAAAAGAGACTTAAGCAATGCTCAGTTGTTAATTGATACCTCCTGAAACAGCTTATTCAAGTTGCAAAATGTTATTTGATTTCTCTCTCAGTGTTCTCCTGGATTCTTTTATTCAGGAAGCAAGGAGGCTACATCCAAACTGTGTATTGGGGAATAGTGACTTTAGTTTGTGCAGGCACTCTTTTTAAATCGTGGGATGACAGCATCACCCAATGAGAAGACCCCTGGGCTGGTAATCAGCACAGAGAGCTTAGTCAGGACTATAACCCATCAGTCAGAAAAATGTTTGCCTGGGAAGAGAGAGAGTACTGTGAGAGCTTCATTCACTTTCATTGTGGTCGCTGGGGTCTCTGAGGTAAGTCTGTTATGGCATGGTATGGTCTTGATATGTGTCCCCTCCAAATCTCATGTTGAAATGTATTCCCAATGTTAGAGGTGGGACCTGGCAGGAGATGATTGGAACCTGAGGGTAGATCCCTCATAAATGGCTTAGTGCCATCCTCTTGGTGATGAGTGAGTTCTAACTCAGTTAGTTCACATGAGATCTGGTTTTTAAAAGACTCAGGGACCTCCCTCTTCTCTCTCTTGCTCCCATTCTTGCCATGTGACATGCCTGTTCCCCCTAGGCCTTCTGCCATGATTAGAAGCTTCCTGAAGCCTTACCAGAAGCTGAGCAGATGCTGGCACCATGCTTCCTATACAGTCTGCAGAACCATCAGTAAATTAAACCTCTTTTCTTTATAAATCAACTAGCCTCAGATTTTCTTTTTTTTTAAAGACAGGGTCTCACTTTGTCATCCAGCTGAAGTACAGTGGTACAATCATAGCTCACAGCAACTTCGACCTCCTGGGCTCAAGTAATCCTCCCACCAAAGGCTCTCGAGTAGTTGGGACAACAGGTGGATGCCACCATGCCCAGCTTTTAAATTTTTTAAAACATTTTCATTTATGTATGTATGTATGTATGTATGTATGTATTTATTTATTTATTTTGAGATGGAGTCTCACTCTGTCGCCCAGGCTGGAGTGCAGTGGTGCGATTTCGGCTCACTGCAAGCTCCGCCTCCCAGGTTCATGCCATTCTCCTGCTTCAGCCTCCCGAGTAGCTGGGACTACAGGCATCTGCCACCACTACTGGCTAATTTTTTGTATTTTTTTTTTTTTTTCAAGATGAAGTCTCGCTCTGTCATCCAGGCTGGAGTGCAGAGGTGCCATCTCGGCTCACTACAAGCTCTGCCTTCCGGGTTCACACCATTCTCCTGCCTCAGCCTCCCGAGTAGCTGGGACTACAGGTGCCTGCCACCATGCCCGACTTATTTTTTTTGTACTTTTAGTAGAGATGGGGTTTCACCGTGTTAGCCAGGATGGTCTTGATCTCCTGACCCCGTGATCCGCCCGCCTCAGCCTCCCAGAGTGCTGGGATTACAGGCATGAGTCACTGCACCCGGCCAACTTTTTTATTTTTTGTAGAGAGGGAGGCCTTGCTATGTTGCCCAAGTTGGTTTCAAACTCCTGGACTCAAGTGACCCTCCCACCTTGGCCTCCAAGGGATGGGATTACAGGCATGAGCCACTGTGCCTAGCGAGGTATTTCTTTTTGGCAACATAAGAACAAATGACTACATGGCACTTCAAGCATTCTGGCTCATGCTCAAAAATGAGATCCGAAGATTTTTATTTTTTGAGTTCCACAAGGCTTTGGTTATCTGAGCATTTGTAAAGTGGGAGTGGGGAGAGCAGCAGTGTTTATCTTTGCTTAGTCTGCTCCATACACGTTTCTCCAAACTGAAAGCCTACAATTCTTTTTATTTTTGTAGAGACAGGGTCTCACTATGTTGCCCAGGCTGGAACTCCTAGGCTCAAGTGATCCTCCTGCCTAAGCCTCCCAAAGTGCTGAGATTACAGGCATCAGCCACCATGCTGGGACTGGAAGCCTACAATTCTAAATTGTACTGATTAATATATAGAGAGAAAAAAAGGAATAAACGAAATTCTTAGAATCAAATGATTATAATGAGACTGGAAAACAATTATTTGAAATCTGACAGTTTATATATTGAGACAAAATAAAAGCATTTATAAAGTCCTGGAAGTAATTTAAAATAAAAAGAATATTGGCCGGGTGCGGTGGCTCAAGCCTGTAATGCCAGCGCTTTGGGAGGCCAAGGCGGGTGGATCACGAGGTCAGGAGTTCGAGACCAGCCTGGGTAACATGGTGAAACCCCGTGCACCTGTAGTCCCAACTACTTGGGAGGCTGAGGCAGGAGAATCGCTTGAACCCGGGAAGCAGAGGTTGCAGTGAGCCAAGATCGCGCCACTGCACTCCAGCCTGGGCGACAGAGTAAGACTCTGTCTCAAAAAAAAAAAAAAAAAGAATATTGGTCAGGTGTAGTGCCTCACGTCTGTAATACCAGCACTTTGGGAGGCCAAGGCAGGAGGATCACTTAAGGCCAGGAGTTCAAGACAAATCTGGGCAACAAAGTGAGACCTCCATTTCTACAAAATAAAAATTTAAAAATTAGCTGGGCATAGTGGCTTGTGCCTGTAGTCCTGGCTACATTTATTTAATGATCACTGAGAATATTCTAGGCTAGTGTTGAGTGTGGTGCATGGGCAATCTGTGTCAGAATTCCTTTAGGTGCTTCCGACTGAATTAGAAGCTCCAGGGCCCGGAAATCCGCATTTTAAACTTGCTCTGTAGGCGATTTGGATTCACACTAAAGACTGAGGACCACACTGTTCTAGGCACTGTTAGGTGCTGGGACCTAACACGAAACAAGGTAGACGTGGTTCCTGACTTCCCAGTATACTTATATAGGGGCTGGGGGACAGCTCATTAGTGATATGGATGCTAGAATGGAAGAAGGAAGATCACATAGCAGGTGCACCTAGTTCAGACTGAGGAGGGTACCAAAGTCGAAACTGGAGGAGGGATCTGCAGCTCTACAGATATCTGTACTTCAGGGAAATATGGGAGCTGTCAGCTGGTGGAGGCGAAGGGCAGCCGTGACCGTGAACAAAATGGCCAGGAGGAGGGCATCGTGTGTGAAGCGGGCTAAGGACCGAATTGTGAAAGACCCCAAACCACCCAGCCTTCCATCCCCTAAGATATCTGTCTTTGCCTTCGCTGGCCCTTTCGCCCGTCCCTGATCCCTCAGAGAGACCCTCTGCGGAATACGCCCGCGCCCAGGATCGCGGAGCAGCGCACTAACATCCTGTCGCTTCGGGACAGTCTTCCGGCTCTCAGCCTCCCCAAGCAAGGCGGGGTTAAGCTCGACCCAGGCTCTCCCCGGCTGCCGTGAGACAGCGCCGGACGCGCCAGCCCTGCGTGATGACGTCAGCGCGCCGCGCGCGCCGAGGGAGGAGCGGGCGCCGTGGGCCGGCTGGCGCGGGGGCTCCGGTAATACGGGCTGGGCGGGGGAGAGGAAGGGGCGGGGCAGGGAGCCCGCCAGAGTGCGGGGTCGCGGTCCGGACCCGGAGCACGAGCCCTAGAGCGTCTCAGCACTCGTCGCTTCTTCTAGCAGACCCCACCCGGCCTGGCGATGGAGTTTCCGGACCTCGGGGCTCACTGTTCGGAGCCGAGCTGTCAGCGCTTGGGTGAGGGGCGGAGCGTGCGGGGGGCGCGGCCCAGCGGAAAGGGACTTTGAACCGCAGGTGGGGAGGGAAGGGTGGGTTCCCAGGCTGGCAATGCCGGGGGGCGGGGCTTGAAGTTGGGGGGGGTCAGGGGCAGAGGGGGCGGGGCCAAGGAGGTAATGGGCTTGGGAAGGGGCGGTGTGTCGCAAATAGGATGGTGTTTTCCTTCCGCTGAGTGGAAGGCTTGAGTGAGAGAGAAGGACATCGAGGTCCCCCTGTACCTGCAATCCGACCAACTCTCTGCAGATTTTCTGCCGCTTAAGTGTGATGCCTGCTTAGGCATCTTCTGCGCAGACCATGTGGCCTACGCCCAGCATCACTGTGGATCTGCTTACCAAAAGGTGAGGGGGCGATCCTCAGGGTGAAAACGGGCAGATGGAGAATGCGTGCAGAATCCCCCAAATCCATGTCTTACATTTCTTCTCCCTTTTGTCTTTCTGAGGCTGTCAGTGCTGGGAAACACTGTTTTTTTGAGTGTTTGTGTTGGGTCCTATCCAAGTTCTTTCAGGACCAGAGATTTGTTGGACTGGGGTGGGCCACACACTGACCCTTGCTCCTTGACTATAGGATATCCAGGTACCTGTGTGCCCTCTCTGTAATGTACCTGTGCCTGTGGCCAGAGGGGAGCCCCCTGACCGTGCTGTGGGAGAGCACATTGACAGAGACTGTCGCTCTGATCCAGCACAGCAAAAACGTAAGGTAAACATTGTAGGGGTCAGAACTACGGATGCCTGGAAACCCAAACAGCTAGTCAGAGTCTCAGCAGGGACAACCTTCTCACTTCACCTCAGATCTTTACCAATAAGTGTGAGCGCACTGGCTGCCGGCAGCGAGAAATGATGAAACTGACCTGTGAACGGTGTAGCCGAAACTTCTGCATCAAGCACCGGCACCCACTGGACCATGATTGCTCTGGGGAGGGGCACCCAACCAGCCGGGCAGGGTAATTGCAGCCAAGTCTTCTACTTGCTTTTGGGACTATTGCATTCTTTTGGAACTGACTCAAGCTCTGTCGTTACAAATTGGGGAGCTTCAACCATATCCCTGTCGGCTAGGGGAGTCTTTTAGCTTCCTTTTCAAGTGCATGTTTTTCCAGAATTCCCCGCCTGAATTCCTGGGTAAGGCTGGTTCTTGGAGACATGCCAACAATATCTTTCCCTACAGACTTGCTGCCATCTCCAGAGCACAAAATGTGGCTTCTACAAGCACTGTCCCCAGCCCAAGTCCAACCATGCCTTCCTGTCCCTCTCCCAGCAGGTAGGCCTGCCCGTTTCCCTGCTCCCTGTTTTTCCCTTTCACACCTCTGACCTCCACCTCTTCAATGTTTGGTCACAGAGCCACAACCCAGTCTCCATCCTGGACAGCCCCTCCAGTGATTGCTTTGCAGAATGGCCTGGTGAGTTGGGCAGAGGTTGGATGGACAGAAACAAACACACAGAGAGTGAAGTCCAAGGACACTGGTCTTCTTTCTCCCTTTGCAGAGTGAGGATGAAGCTCTGCAGCGGGCCCTGGAAATGTCCCTGGCAGAGACCAAACCCCAGGTTCCAAGGTATGCTACCCTCTTGAGAAAGGGCAAGCTGTGGGCAAGGGTTTGATCTGGAGGGAGGTAGGTGGGACCACTCTGACACAATGCAAGATAATCGCTGGCAACTTGGGCTCAAAATTAAGATGAACTGTATCATCCTTGACAAGTTATTTAACCCATGGAGCCTTCATTTCCTCTATAAAAACGGGGACAATACTAACACCCAGCTTGTAGTGTTGCTATGAAGACTGAGATAATCCCCAGCAGTGCTCGGCACCGTGAGGCCCGACACACACAGAGCAGATGTTCAAATTTTAGATCCTACCATCATCCAACTTAAACTGTTCCTCCCTCCCAGTTGTCAGGAGGAAGAAGACCTAGCTTTAGCGCAAGCACTGTCAGCCAGTGAGGCAGAATACCAGCGGCAGCAGGTATGAGGCTGGGGTGAAGATGGGTGCTGCAGGGGGAGGGAGGAAGAAGTCAGGGATGGGGGTTCTTCTGAGTGGTGCAGAGTTTTGGAATGGTGGTTGTCCTTTGGTTTTCTGGATGACTCCAGCCTGTGCTGAGCTCTGAAATGAGGGTCGTCCCCTCATTTCCTTGACGTTGCACCCTGTCTTCCCTTCCTTCCCCTCTCCTTGCTCCAGGCCCAGAGCCGCAGCTCGAAGCCATCCAACTGCAGCCTGTGCTAGGGCCCTGGGCTTGGGGAGGGAGGTTCACCTGAGGAGGACTGTGGCCCTCACACCTCTAGGGTACACAGGGAGAGGCGGCCCGGAGTAGCCTGGAGGGCAGAGACAAGCGGGAGTGATGTGGAGGTCGCCCTGGGAGCCTCTGGAAGGCCTTGCTAGTGTTCCAGCTGCATGGGAGAGAGCAGCTAGCAACTGCTGCCTGGTTGGGCCCTCGGTGGATGCTGGCCAGGCCCTGCTCTCAGTCCTATCATCATGTCATCTCCCTTTTGCTGGAGCTGCCCTGACATGGAGTGGGCAGGAAGGGTCCTGGAGAAAATAAAGGATCTTGGCAGTTGATAGGATATACAAGTGGTGTGTTTCTCTCTCCTCTCTAACCTCAAACAGAAAAGCCGCATCAACAATGCTCACCTGACATACGGGTAGAGGCCCACTGCAGTACCCCACCCCACAAAGCCACAGTGATCGTCACACAGGCCACATTTTTATTTCCCCAAAAGGTGTTTTTCTGAAAGGTCCCTTTCCCTTACTATAGCTAGCACCGCACCCCAAGACCAGGATGAAATAAGCTAGGGAAGGGGCGTACATCTTATTCCCTTCTGGGTTAGTCTTTGAGAGGGAAGTGGCCAAACTTTTGTCATCGTTCCATGGTCTGAGGCATAGTGTCTTCAGAGGTTTCTTCCTGTCCCTGCTGCTGCAGCTGCCACATGTCAGCATACACCCCACCTCGGGACAACAGAGCCTCATGCCTGGGGTGAGGAGGAAAGTGTGAGTCCCAACCATCAGTTTTACCCCAAGGGTCCTTGCCGCCAGCCCGCAGAGAGGATGGGATGGGCAAGGGAGGTCCCCTCCAGAAGCGTCTGGGACTTCACACCCCCTTTCCTGGAGCCCTCAATTCAGAAGACCTGTCCTTTTGATCTATGTCTCTTACCGTCCCCTCTCCACGATGCAGCCATCCTTGATGACGAGGATCTGGTCAGCATTGACCACAGTTGAGAGCCTGAGAAGTCAAAGATCAGTTGCCTACTACCCCACCCAAAGCGGCCACACTGCCAGCCGCCCCAGGCCTGTAGTCCTGTACCTGTGTGCCACTACGATGGTAGTGCGGTTGGCACAGACTTTGGCCAGAGAAGCCTGGATGGCCCTCTCATTAGATGTATCCAGCGCTGACGTTGCCTGTAGAGAGGGTCCAGGTAAAACTGTTCCTGCCACTCAAAACCCCAATGGAAGGAGGAGGCAGGCTGCTGGCTGAGGCCTCAAGAATATACAAGAGCCTTGTTTGGGCTTGAGAACTGTAAAGTGTGTTTTGTGAGATGTGGATTCATGATATCTGTTCTAGGTGGGGACAGTGCCCAGCAGGAATGGCTTGAGCATACACGAGGGAGGAAGGAGGGGAGGAGACCCAGGGCGCACCTCATCCAGCAGAATGATGTCCGGAGCCTTGAGGATGGTGCGGGCAATGGCGACGCGCTGCTTCTCCCCACCGCTCAGCTTCAGTCCCCGCTCACCCACCTGTGTCCTGTACCCTGTGGATATTACCCACCACACGTTTCTTACGTGGAAGAAACAAACGGAGGGAACAGGGGTCAGAGATTAACAGGACAACACCAGGAGGGGAGGAGGGGACTCTCTGCAAAGGAATCTTACCTTCAGGGAAAGCCATAATGGCATCATGGATGCCTGCAGCCTGAGCAGCAGCCTCCACCTCATCATTCCCAGCTGTGACACGGCCGTAACGGATATTGTCAGCGATGGTGTCATTAAAGAGAACAGTATCTTGGGGCACAACTCCAATGTGAGACCGGAGAGAGGCCTGGGTCACCTAGGGCCAAAAGACCACACAATCTGCCTTATGAGATACCCCCAAGGCCTGGGAGGGAGGGTGGGCTGGCCAGAAGCACATGGGATAAGAGGCCCTGTTAAGAATCCCACCATCACTGCCCCAGACCTTAGCCGTGTGGGCAAATCACTCCTCTGTGTTTCCCATCTTCTCTTCCCGCTTCACCAGATTGCTGCCAATGTTTGGTTTGGTTTTGGGATAGAGTCTCACTCTGTCACCCAGGCTGGATTGCTGTGGCAAAATCTCGGCTCACTGCAGCCCTGACCTCCTGGGCTCACGCAATCCTTCCACCTCAGCTTCCTGAGTAGCTAAGACCACAGGTGCTTGCCACTATGTCAAGCTAATTTTTAATTTTTTGTTGAGATGGGGTTGTCGGGATATGCTGCCCAGCCTGGTCTCAAAATCCTGGACTCAAATGATCCTGCTGCCTTGACCTCCCAAAGTGTTGGGATTACAGGTGTAAGCCACCACACTTGGCTACAGAAGATCTTTGTACCTTTGTTTTTGTGTGTGTGTGTTTGTTTTTTGTTTTGAGACAGGGCGTTGCTCTGTCACCTAGGCTGGAGTGCAGTGGCATGATCACAGCTCACTACAGCCTCCTGGTGGGACTACATGTGTGCGCCAGCATGGCCAGCTAATTTTTGTATTTTTTGTAGAGAGGGTGTTGTGCCATGTTGCCCAGGCTGGTCTTGAACTCCTGGGCTCAAGTGATCCACCTGCCTCGGCCTCCCAAAGTGCTGAGATTACAGGCATGAGCCACCTTTGTAGCTTTTATGGCACCACACAAATCCTTCATAGGACTACTTTACTTGTGTGACTGTAGGTTATATCATGCTAGAATGGCCCTATTTTGTTGCAAGGGTGACATCTACTCTCTCTGGACACCCAGCCCTTATCATTCCTCCACACACAGACCCCTAAACTACAGTCTTCTCCTGAGCAACCTTACCTGTGCAATGTCCTGCCCGTCTATTCGGATGCAGCCAGAGCTGATGTCATAGAAGCGAAACAGCAGGCGCAAAATTGTGCTCTTCCCTGCCCCAGATGGGCCCACCTGTTGCAATGGAAACGGTGGAAAAAATCTCAGGGCCACTGGCTTTTTTTTCTTTTTTTCTTTTTTTTTGAGATCGAATCTCACTGTCACCCAGGCTGGAGTGCAATGGCACAATCTCAGCTCACTGGAACCTCCGACTCCCAGGTTCAAGTGATTCTCCTGCCTCAGCCTCCCGAGTAGTGGGATTATAGGCGCCCACCACCACGCCCAGCTAATTTTTGCATTTTTAGTAGAGATGGGGTTTCACCATGTTGGTCAGGCTGGTCTCAAGCTCCTGACCTTAGGTGATCTGGCCACTTAAGCCTCCCAAAGTCCTGGGATTACAGGCGTGTGCCACCACACCCGGCTGAGGCCCACTGGCTTTTAAGGTTCCCTCTCCAAGAGGTCACCGATGTCCGTGGAGGCTGCACCATTCAATCCTGTTGCCTGTCGTGACTGGGCTGTCTGACTCCACACCCTGGGTCACGAGCTACCATGGGCACTGAATGAGGGAAGCTTGAGGCATCTGGGCCAAGTGGCTGAGTCTCCTCTCACCAGGGCCAGTGTCTGTCCAGGCATCACAGTGAAAGACACGTCCTGCAGAGTCTCCTGCCTGCAAGGAAGGGTGGTTGCTCAGCAGGCGCCTTCCATCACCAGAGCTGCTAGTAGGCCCTGCCCCTCCCCTGCCCAGGCTCTTTTCCAAAAGCAGGGATTCAGAGCAGTGAGAAGCAGGAAGGCAGTGTGCAGAAAAGCACAGAAAAGCAAAGGAAGGCCTCACCCATCGGCGTAGCTGAAGTGCACGTTCTCAAACTCAATTCGGCCCTTCTGAAAGCGAAGGGGCCCTGCTCCAGGAAGGTCCTTCACCTGGAAGGGCACCACCCATGTGTGCTGAGGTTCTCAGCTTTGTATTTTCCAAGCACAAGAAACACCACACAGCTCCTCCTTCCCCAAACCCTACTCCTCTCCCTTCACTCACTTCTGTCTCCTCTTTAAGCAAGTCAAACATGTTCTCCATGTCAATGAAGTTGGTCTGGATCATCCTGCAAAAAGGTGCTGGTTAGGACTTCTCTGAGTAGCCAGGAAATAGTAATGTGCCCTGGACAGGTGAGGGCCAGGGCTCAGATTACCTGTAGTAGGTGCCAAACCAATTGAGGGGCATGTACAGCTGGATGATGTAGGTACCAAAGAGCACATAGTCCCCAACCTGTGGCAATCAAGGAAGCGGACCACGTCACGGGAGGCCTGCAGGCTGCTCTTCTTGTGTCACCCTGCCCACTTCCTAGCCAAGAGCCTGGTGGCCCAGACACAGGCCCCAGGCCCCCTTTTCCTTGTGCCCCACTCTCTCATCCAAGATCCTGCCTCACCTGTAGTTTCTGCTCACTGACAAAGTATGCACAAAGCAGGGAGCCGGCGAGGAGCCCAAGCCCAATCACCAGGTTCTGGGTCTGATTTAGTAAAACCAGTGAAGCGCTGGACTTCCACTCCAAACCCTGAGGGCAATAACATAGGAAGAGCAATGTCCTATACACGATGGCCATCAGTGAGTCCAAACCCACCCCAACACTCGACTATTACTCCTGGCCCTGAAAATTCTACCAGGCCAGGGCATTATTCTCTGGAGGCCTCAAACTAACATCCTCACCTGATATTTGATGATGGCCTCTCGATAGCGTTCCACTTCATAACTCTCGGCGTTGTAATACTTCACCTGATGAATTCAAACCAAAATTATTTGGCATGGGCACAACACATGGCACTCGGGTCATTCCCCCCAACTCTCAGTCCTCCTTCCTTATTTCAAACATCACACAAACATCACACCCCCAGCTCTCTGTCAGCCCCAGTGGTCCTAGCCACACTCCTCCACATCTCCACACCTTACACCACTGCCACTGGGGCCTCTGTTACCGTCTCAAAGTTTAGCAGAGAGTCCACTGCTCGTGCCCGGGTAGCATTTTCCTGTGTGTTCATAGCGCGGCGAAACTTGGTTCTCCACTCAGTGACCACAATGGTCAGGGCTGGAGGGTGACAGGATGGGGAGCAGAATAGGACATCATCCCCAAAAGCAGAGACCAAATGTCAATGTCCACTACCTGCCATGTACACACTAAACCTATGCTCAAGCCCAGAGACCCAGATTCCACAGGGAGGCATCTCTGCAACCTGCACAAAGCCTCATGTGTAGAAAACGCTTTTGGTAAACAAATGAAAGCAAGCTGCATCTTGTTACACAAATGAGGCTTCCTTGACCTGTGTCCACAGTGCAGACTTAACGTGACAAGAATGTCCTTCCCCAGCCCCCTCAGCTAGATTGAGCTAAGGTTTGATTTGATAGAAGAGACCCGCCCATCACATGAGGAGCACCAGGAGCCCATTCAAGTCCACCAATCCAACACCTCCCATAGGTGGGTCACTTGAGTGGGGACAGAGCTCATGGCCAAGGGAGACTCTGGATAGTTCACGGAGATGGT